AAAAAATAATCAATTAATAATAACGTAATTTTATGTACCTTGATTATAAAAAAAAAAGTATTTTTACTTTGAAAAAAAATTTAAAATGTATCTTAATATTGAAAAAAACTCCACATTTTCTTTTATAAGTAAAATACTAACTAATAAAAATTTTTTTTGTTACAATTTCTTCAAATTACCAAATTGTAAAGAGCCTTTTTACTCGCAAATGTTGTAAAATAACTAAGGGTAGGAAAAAAAAAAAAAACCCAGAGCTTGTTGGTATTGATTACAATCAAGAGGCCCACAAATATTAATGACCATAGCCAAGATAAGAAACACGTGTAGGGCATACCTCTCAAAAATATTTTTTTTCTTTTGAAAGGAAGCTGAGTAGAAACATGAATTTCATTTGCATTTTGTTGAAAGATACAAATTTAGTCTGATTTATTATTTTATTAGTAAAACAATATAATTTTAATGCTATTTTAAAAATATTTTTAATAGTTAAATCTTTTAGATAATAAAACGAATCTATTCGGACCTCTATAAATAAGTTATATTACATTTTCAACAAAATTTTAAAAGTGCCAATCAAATTTGGTTCAATTTGATTTATTCAGTGAATATTTTTAATTTATAATGAGTTTATTCATTATATTAATTATAATGTAAATAAAAAGAAATTAAAATTGCATGTTGGTCCATTTGGATATAAGAACTTGAAAAACAGAAAGAAAAAAGTTATTTAGTTTGTTGTATAGATTATTAGATATAAAAAAAATACTACAAATTAGTGTTAGTAAAAGTTAAACCTTTCTCAACAGATTTTACATGTTAATTAAAAAAAAAATTTCTACAGATTCTTCATTTCGCTATTTGTGCAAAACCATATGTAAAATTATTAATTACCAAAAAAATAAAACATTCTCGAAGAAGTAGTCATTGTCTCACGTCTTTAACACCATTCTATTAATCAAATGTCGCAAATGCATCTCTCCCTTTCTGCTCAACCATACTCTAAACTATATAGTTACAACGACCAATCTTTATTGACGTTGCCACCACACCATCAAAGGTTTTAAAATCATTACCTAGAAAAATATATATATATATATAAATTTGAATTTAAATTTAATAATTTAAATAATTATTTTTTAAAAAATAAAATTTAATAAGTCAAATATTCAAATTTTAATACATATAAATTTTTTTTTATTTTCAGATCATAATTTTTTTTACCAAATATATATATATATACACACACACACACAATGCAATATCAGAAGAAAAAACAACCACCTACCTAGCGTTAGCTTAAACTTGAGCATCAATTGAATAGCATAGATTGGCTACAAAATTAAATGCAACAGCATTTGCAAAAGAACTCATACTCCTAGTGGGGAAGAGCCTGCCTTGTACTAATTGGCTAAGTATATATCTTCTTAGCTGTAGCTAATTCATAGCTTAGGGGAGCAGCAACATTTAATGAGAAAACCTTTCCCACTACACCCAACCCAACGCACATCACCCAAATCTATATAGCCACAGCTTTGGTAAACTAAAAATTACAGTCATGCATGAACCAGACAATCTTCCATTATTGCCTAGAGAATCAAATATTTGTATCCTATTTTGATGAAACAAACAAGGCCAATGTATGACATTCAGCTTGCTAGATATGTTGGAACTTGGAACAAGCATCTCTACCACATGCTCTTCCTTTTTTTTAATGTTAAGGAGGGCTTTTGCTAATGGCGATGAACAACTAATATCTCAATGGAACACTTCTTCTAATTATAACATTATTAAGTAATATTTTCACTCAAAATATTGTCATTCGATTAATTATCAACTATTGCATACATATCTATATAAATGTAAAGAAAGAATTATGTTGTTAATTAATATACGTATGTAGATATAATCATAGTCCCACAGAAGTGGTAATTGGACAGATTTAAATTGATTTGCATGTCTTTGAAAAATTCACTTTAATTTTAGATAAATTTCAAATTTAAACTTACAAATTGTATTGTTTTGAGTAATATTCATATTTAAATTTGACCAATTTTCATTAATTATATTTTAATTTTTTAAATTAAAATCATAAAATTTACGAGTTTTGAATTGAATCAATTTCATAATTAAATTATTATTGATTTGTATCGTTTTAAATTCGGTAGGTTTCATAATCAAAACTTTTTATATTTAAATCTTGGACTTTCTTTTAATCAATTCGGATACAATTGAGTTAGCTTTGAATTAGGTGGGGTAATTGTTTTTTAGAGTTACGCACTTGAATCAATGATTAATAAAAAAGAGAATCAATTGAAATGGTCAGTGATTAGCGAAGTTTTTATCTCAGTTTCTAAATATATTGGTTGCTTGAGCACTATCGTTTAAAAAGTTGTTGCTGTCATCTGAGATAGTATGAAATTGATAGCTAGGTCATGTATGTAACATGTTTATTTGAAAAATAACAAGAGTAGTAATGGCAAGAAAAAGCAGCTGTCTTATGACGTGCATGGCACATCTTATCACCTAATTTGTAATGCAATGAATTAATTTAAAAGTAACCCAAAGTTTGAACTTTGAATTAACTATAAAGTACTATTGTTGGACGGTGAGACACTTTGGCAATCACCTAAAAGTCAACGCCAAATCAATTTTTTAAATCATAATTTTAAAATGATCTAATTAGCAAGTGCTTATCCACTATAATTAAAGTTAATTAAAATGTTATTTAAAAAAAATCGATATTTGATGCGGTATGTTCATTAAATTCAATAAAAATAATATCTATTTAAATATTATTTTAACTAATGAAACTTTTTAATTAAATTTTAACTAACGTAATTAGACATTAATTAACATTTATGCTTTTGAAAGATAAATATATCAAAGTATGAATCCAAATATATGGGTTGATTCCTTTTGGCCCTAAACTACTTTCTTTTCTTCTTTTTTTTTTTAATTTAAATATTTGTAACCTCACATTTTACGAGTATAGATTTTTTAATTTTCAAATAAAGTAAAATTACTAGATTATGGAAGACCAATTTCCTAAAGTTTGTCCATAACAAAACAAAACATAGTGTATTTTTTTTTTATATGTAAAAATTAAAGAATAAATTATGACCAATTTTAAATATATATATATATACACACACGCTTACGACAAGACACTATGAATTAAACCAATGTAACTTGAAGGAATATTTAGCTAACACGCTCTTGTCCTCGTTGATTGAGCAAATCATTTTTGTCTTTTATATTAATAAATACTTTTTTCTTACAGTACAATATAAAATTATAATTTCTACGTTCTTATATGTTAATAAAATGTGCATTATTACATAATTTAATTAATAAAATTTTTATCATCACATGACAAAAAGCATGAATATCAAAAGATTCATGAATTAAAATTAAATAATTATTTAAATTTTTATCATTTTATTATATTTAATTATACTCTCAAACATTTATTTTTATCAATTAAATTATTATTAAATGAAATTAATTGACTATCAATTTTTATTTTTACGTAATAAAAGATTTAATTAATGGAAATATATGTTTAAACTTTAGAGGTTCATTTTAATAAAAATAAATATTTAAAAATTTAATTAATTATATTAAATAATAAAAATTTGAATAATTATTTAATATTCGTTAAAAAACTTTTTTTTTTTTTATATTTAAGCCATTACAAAACAAGCTTAATTACAACAAAACACTTTTTTAATCTCAATAAAACACTAATAATCAAATATTTAGCATGTTCCCAAAAAAAAAAAAAAAGGTTGGGGAGACAAGATCCGTGGCACATGTGGCGCAGCACCACGTCATTACCTTCGAAACGACGGCGTTTTACATTAAAATCTTACCGGTTGCTAAAACAGGTGGGCAGACGGTGACGTGCGGCGCTTAAAAAACTGAAAAACGTTAGCCTTTGGTAAAGCGGACCGACGGTGTCAAGTGAATGTTGACGGAGATTGGCAACGACAAGTCGGTCCCACGTGAGGGGGAAAGGGGGCAGAGGTCGGAGGATGATGTCAGATCAGGTGAATATAAATAAAATAATTTTTATATTTTTATAGTGTAAAATATTAAAAATTTATATATTTATGTTATATTTATAAAAAATATATATTATAAAAAATATATAAAATTATAATATAAAATTTAATTTTATTAAATTTATATAAAATTTATATTAAAAATTTTAATTACATTATTTTAAATTTATTTTTATATCATATCTTTTTATCCTATTTTATATTGATAATTTGTAAACTGTGGCCTATGTTTATTTTAAAATCACGTATGTGCAGTTAAGGAGAGGATGTCACAACATTGAAGAAGCGAGGGACCTATAGGTTGGCGTGACTCGTGAGGAAGACAGAAAGGGGCATGTATTTGGAATTTATTTACCAAAATGGGATTTTTTTTTTTTTTGGATTGGTGGGATTATATTTCAAAAGAAATTTTGGGTTCCATTTAGCATTTGTTCAATAAATATTATTTATTATTATAAAGATAATGAAAGAAAATGTAGGGAGTTTAAATAAATGATATGTAATTATGTTTTCAAGTTTTTATTATGAGACAAAGTTTTGGAACATTAAAAACATACATAAATGAAGATAATATATATACACATTATTAAATGGACAAGTACCTGCTGTAGTTTATGTTTAATTTGTCATGAGACTTCAACTTGATGGCTCTCATGCATGTGTTACGTCCCGTGTACGCACCACATAAATTAAGGCTAAAACAACACGTTATGTTAAACTTAGGTTTCAAGTTCGTGACACATGATCCAGGAAGGCAATAAGTTATATAAATATCTATATTCATGCATGTATGCGTATGTAAAGGAAAATTACTGTGTTCTTTCTTTTAATCCCTCTATGCATCATAATCATGAGTTAACAAGTACGTGGACCACATTGAGCAGCCAACCACGAATGGTAGTATGTAGTAGCGGTTGTTAACAACATATGGGTGCGCCTGCGCCCACTGCTTAGTTCGATTTAAAACATACATCTACAATTAATGACCCATCTGGCCTGATGAAAGTGGTCCAGTCCCAGTCCAGTCCATCAAAGTCTCAATGCGCTAAGATTTTTGATAAGCCGAAAGAGTAGAGTAGACACTGTCGCAGGCAGCAGCAGCACCTAGGGGAACCTGAACTCACCTGGGATTGTGCGCCACCCTCTGCCCCTTCGCCGCCTTATCTTCTCTGTTTCGCCTTTCCCAAACGACAAATTCCCTCCTCTAAATCCGAACTAAACCTTTTCCTAAAGATGGTGCCGCTTCCTCAAAACCCAACACCCAAATTTAAAATACTCAAGTAATCCAAATCCCAACCTCGAATTTCCACCCAACTTCAAGGGTGTTATAGTAACATCATTATAATTTTCAGCAATGCTTATATCCCCACACTACTTGTCTAAATTGCTACAAGTCTACAACAGTAACGCACTGATTTTCCTTTTCTTTTTTATATTTAATAAAATACAAGTAAAGAAAATAACAGTTTGGTTTTTACAAGCAAAAATTTATCGTTGATATATCCGAAAATGCAGAGATACACAGCATTTAGTTGCCAAAGATTGTTTTTTTCTAATTTTTGTAATAAAATCCTAAAACTATTTCCATTTCCTCCTTTTTTTTTTGTTCCTTTTGAAGTGAAAGTTTTATGGTATAAATAAATATTTATCTGTACTGGCTGTTTGAGCTTGCTTGTTTTTGTTGTTGCTGAAATTAATGAGTGATTCTTTCATGTCTGGGTACAAAACCTCCTCCTGTTTCCCTTGTTTTTTCACTTTCAATAAACTACTCCTTTTATTATTATTTTCTTCAAAAAAGTTAGCCTTTTTTTTTTTTTTTTTCAAATGAAAGTCGCTTCATCTTTGTCAACGGGCATCTGGGTTTTCGTTTTAAAACAATTTTATGAGGTTTGAATTGTTAGAAAGTTAGCTGCTAATGTTTGGTGTTATATATCTTTTTTTTTTAATGTTTCTATGTCTGTTGGTTTTGTCTGCAGTGTTGTTTAGTTAATTAGAAGATTGATGAACGTTTTGGCTTGGGCGATTTTTATTATTATTTTTGGGTTTAAAGGAAGAGTTGCAGGGGATTTAATTTTGTTTTCTTACATTTTCTTTTTGGTGATTTTTTCTGGTTTGTCGTTATGGGTTTTGTTTACAGAAAAGAAAATAAGAAAAAAGAACTGTGTTGTTAGTTGGTAATTCTATTTGTTTTTGTTGTTTTCTTGCATTTTCAGGCCAGACAACCACGACACTAGAATTTTCTTTTGAATGTTTATTTAAATATTTAAAGTACTTACCTCTATTTCTTTTTTACAAATTTGCAGGATTTGAACTTGGTTTGCGGCTTGAATTTGAGGCTTAAAAAGGGTGCTTCTTTTTTTCCTTTTTACATTTTCAAATGTGAGGCTTTTTGTTAGTTGTGAAGATTCAGTAGTCAAATCCATCACAAGAAAGCTGTTGGCTCACAATATTTACCTTCTCTTGTCATTCATTGTGATTTGATCATCTTTGTATGGACGCCTATACAAGAGAATCAAATAGCAGAATATTTTGCTCCGTTTCTGTAAACAACTGATCAACACAAAAAGTGGGAAAAACTGATATTTGGATCCAAAAATAAACAGCTCATTGTTTCTTGCTTTGTAGCTGTTAGTTTAACTTGTTTGACTCCGTGATTTTTGAACCTCTTCCAAAAAAAAAAAAGCTAGTTGTGTTGTATAGATGTATTGCGGTTCACTTTTTGGGTAGCTGCCGCTTTGCTGTTCTTGTCAAACAGTGGTTTGATCTAAATCCGAACCTAATTTAAGCAAAAGGAATTAGTTTCCTGTTATCTGAGACAATAACTTAGCTTGATCTTCATGAAATTGGCCATCACCTGTGGAATATTCATACTCAAATTTCACAAGAAGCAGAAACTAAAAGGCATTTGAAAAGTGGCGTTTTTTTTTTTTTTTTTGGAGGGTGAGCGATTCTGAGCAGTTCATGTGAATCAGTGAAAAAGGTCTTGTCATAGATGCTGGTATTGCTCTGTCTCTCAGCAGATTATCTGGAATGGAATAGGTAGCGATGTTGTTGGTACATGTCCTAGAATCCAACATGGTGGGAGCAGATCAATAATGCAAATGTTTTGCTTTTGTTTTTTGTGCCTTTTAAGACAATTTTTTTGGCCTCCACAATGGTAATTGTTATTAAGATAGTTTTTAAGAGTTGAATCTATTGACGAAGTTTCATAGAAATTCATTGTGCCAAATGAGTCGAGAACAGAAGAAGGAAAAGCAGGAAAAAGGCGGCATCGATATGGCCGAGAAAGTTGTGGTTGCTATTAAGGCATCGAAAGAAATTCCTAAGACTGCTCTGGTGTGGGCTTTGACTCATGTTGTTCAACCTGGAGATTGCATTACGTTGCTTGTTGTTGTCCCTTCACATGGTTCAGGTACTATTTTCTTGTTTCTTATTGTTTTTGCATTTACCTATGACATTTTAGTATTGAACTATGCTGATGGTAATACTGATGTATCTTTCTCTTTTGGGCTTTTAGAACATTAATTACTTGAATGACTTTAGGTGTTTGGTTATTCTGCTCGCTTTACAATTGCTAGTTCTGGTCTGCAGGAGTTAGATTATTTTGACAAGCTGCTTAATCAATCCTCTGCTTAATGTTTTGTTACAGCAGGTTTCTTTAGACAAGTACATTCAAGTTAATAATGAAGAAATTTCCTGCTTAATGCTAATTGGTTGCTCATCTTGGAATTTGAATTAATGGATGCAGACACTTACGTTACCATCTACCGAGAAAATCTTGCTGTATATAGACTGTCTTCCTCTTTTTGCTTTCCAGTTTCTGACTTAGCAGATACTTCTTTCTGAATGATTTAGTTTTCTTGAGTTTGTTAATTTTTTGTGGCATAGACAAGTGTGATCAAGGCTTCAAAGAGTCATAAATAGAAATGATTATGGTGTTTAACTACTGAAAAGTCGTCTAACTTAATTTTCTCCAATAATTCCTGTTTGCTGGTTAAATGCTGCAATCTTTCAGGTAGAAAATGGGGTTTTCCAAGATTTGCTGGTGACTGTGCCACTGGTAGTCGCAAGTCTCCATCAGGATCAAGTTCAGAGCAAAAGTCTGATATCACCAATTCCTGCTCCCGGATGATCCTCCAGCTCCAGGATGTTTATGATCCAAACAAGGTAAATACCTGGCTCTGGGTGCATGATTATATTATTGTTTTATGTAAATGCCCTTGCCTGATAATGCTTTGTTTCCCAACTTAATTGCAAAGATTAATGTCAAGATAAAAATTGTTTCTGGATCACCATATGGAGCAGTAGCTGCAGAGGCCAAGCAAGCCCAAGCTAGTTGGGTTGTATTGGACAAGTAAAATCCTGTTTGCTCTGTTTTGTCTTCCATTTGTTTTTTATGTTCTATCTAAAAGGGTATATATTCACGCTTTCAAATATCTCCATCTTTTGTCTTTGTTCTTGGATATTTTCAGGCAGCTCAAACACGAGGAAAAATGTTGCATGGAGGAGTTGCAATGCAACATAGTGATTATGAAGCGTTCACAGGCGAAAGTTCTCCGCTTAAATTTGGTTGGGTCACCTGAGAAGGAAGCTGAAGCTTCTTGTCAATTAAATTCTGAGATAGATGAAACATCTGTAAAGTATCCGAAGAACAAAGATGGATCAACTGATTCTATTAGAGGGTCAGTTGTCACTCCAACTGGCAGTCCAGAGCTACGGACACCATTTACTGCTACTGAAGCAGGAACTTCTTCAGTGTCAAGCTCTGATCCAGGCACTTCACCTTTTTTCATCTCAGAAGGGAATGGAGACTCCAAGAAGGAGGAATCCTTAGTCATCAAGGAAAATCAGGATCTTGATGAATCTAATTCAGACACAGAGAGTGAAAATTTATCCTTATCTTCAGCAAGTTTAAGGTTCCAACCATTGATAACAGAATATCTTACTTCTCATCATCATTCCTCACAACACCTAGAAGAAACTTCTGGTAGAGCTAATGACAGGGCTCAAGCTTCAACAACAAAAGCTGTGCTGGAGAAATTTTCAAAACTTGATAGAGAAGCTGGAATTGGAATATCAAGCTTCAGAAGTGATATTGAATTTAGTGGAAATCTGAGAGAAGCAATTTCATTATCCAGAAATGCCCCCCCTGGCCCTCCCCCATTGTGTTCAATATGTCAGCATAAGGCACCTGTATTTGGAAAACCACCTAAGTGGTTTACCTATGCTGAATTGGAGCTTGCTACTGGTGGATTTTCACAAGTTAATTTCTTGGCTGAGGGTGGGTTTGGATCTGTTCATAGAGGAGTACTTCCAGATGGGCAGGCAATTGCAGTCAAGCAACACAAATTGGCTAGTTCTCAAGGAGATCTTGAGTTTTGCTCAGAAGTGGAAGTCCTCAGCTGTGCTCAGCACAGGAATGTTGTTATGCTGATTGGGTTCTGCATTGAGGATAGAAGGCGGCTGCTGGTTTATGAGTACATATGCAATGGATCCCTAGATTCTCATCTATATGGTATTTCTTTTATTTAAGTAGATTAAAACCCTTATATCAATCTATCTGACTTTATTTTGTATGTGCTGATCATTGGTCTGCACCAGTGGTTGATATAGTCATCATCTATGGTCCTTTCAAAGAGTTCTTTATGATGTCTATGGCACTTAAAACAGCTGTTTGGATTAGAAAGAGCACTTTCCAACCCTGTATATTGCGTTTCTACCCTGACTTGCGGCCCAACATAGATTGTTAGGGAAAAGAAGTGCTAAATATAAAAAACCACAGATGCTGAACTTATTCACAGTTATAACTATTGGTTTAATATAATCACAATCAAGTTTTTAGAATGAAGATTTATTATACTTAAATATGCTTATTTCTATCTAGCAACCATGGTTTTGAATGTACCATCAATTTGATATGTTTCAGGGCATCATCAGGAACCTTTAGAATGGTCTGCACGGCAAAAGATTGCTGTAGGAGCTGCTAGAGGTCTGAGATACCTTCATGAAGAATGCAGAGTTGGCTGCATTGTGCACCGTGACATGCGGCCAAACAACATTCTCATCACCCATGATTTTGAACCTTTGGTATGCAGACTTTTATCTTTTCTGCATGGTCGTCAATTTTGAAATTAAAAGCTAAAAGATCTTTATTCATCATTTCTTGCATTGACATTAAAGAGAATCCTTTACTTCTCTTTGTTCTGGTAAAATAATTTTGATGAACAAAACTTGAAAACTGTATTTTGGTGTTCAAATTTTAAGAGGGTTTTGCTCTGTTGGAAGTTAATTCTCAACATATGTATTACTTCCGATCCTATTACCTTTAAACTTTTAGATGGATTCTAGGAGAAGCCATTTCTGTAACTGAATCTTCTAACAGTTTCTTTAAATAGTTGTATCTTCAGGTCTTGATTCAGTTTTGTTTTGCTAGGTTGGTGATTTTGGCCTTGCAAGATGGCAGCCTGATGGTGATACTGGAGTGGAAACAAGAGTGATTGGAACATTTGGGTAATCTTGATTGACTATTTTTTTTTTTTTACACAGTTTACCAAACCTTTGCAATTGCATAATTTGGTAATGTTTTATGCTGCGGTATAGGTATTTGGCACCAGAATATACTCAAAGTGGCCAAATTACAGAAAAAGCCGATGTTTATTCCTTTGGAGTGGTGTTGATTGAACTTGTTACTGGACGGAAAGCTGTGGACCTTAAAAGGCCAAAGGGCCAGCAATGTCTAACTGAATGGGTATTTTTAAAACCCTGCTTGTATATCTTGCAGCTTGTTACTAGTCTTTACTCCTGTGCAACTTTAAGAACAATTTACATAGCACTAACATCTGCCATACAAACGAAGGGGCCAAACAAGTTTTTCTGGTTTTCTAATGTCCTCTAAGCTGTGGATTTGTTGGTTTATTGTCATTTATTGCTTACTTTATGATCTGGAATAGGCACGTCCGCTTTTGGAAGAATATGCTATAGATGAATTGATGGACCCAAGATTGGAGGATTGCTATTCAGAGCATGAGGTCTATTGCATGCTTCATGCCGCATCTTTATGCATAAGGCGGGATCCTCATTCTAGGCCTCGAATGTCACAGGTAGTGAGAAACTTTTTACAGAAAAGTCTAATTTGTTTTACCAGACATATTTTACTCGCAATATACTGATTTTTCATTGCTATTTTATGTAGATCATAGTAGCCTTAAAATCAGTGGGAACTCGGCACAACTTTAGTTTATTTCAACATTGTTTTACTTTCAAAGTTCTATTGAACATATTTATTCAAACAAACATTTTTGGCTCCTATTTTTTTAAATTGCCAGAGGTCTATTTTCTGATTAATTATTGGGAATTGAAGACATAAATGGTTAAATACAGTGGCAGATCCTGGATTTTTTCTAGGGTGTTCACTTATTGCAGTGGATGTATGCTGTGCGCCGGGTGTTGCCGGGTTGTGAGCTGTGGCTGGGTATTAGTTGCTTGCAGTGAGTTGACTGTCCTACTGTAACATTTTGGGGTGTTCAGAGGAAAATTTTGGGAGGTGTTAAAGGGACAATTTTCCTTTAAATTTTTTTTTTCCAATCTTTGGGATGTCCATGGACATTTGCATCTGCCATTTGTTAAATATCAGATTAAATGCATAGAATGCAATGAGTATTTGGAAGGAATGGATTAGGTTAAAAATATCTTCTGTCTGATTTTGATCTTTTAAGTCACTACTCAATAAGTTACAGAATGTTTTTGCTGATCGGTTGAATGTTCTTTCGGAGCAGGTGCTCCGTATATTAGAAGGTGACATGCTCATGGACACAAATTACATATCACCAGGAAATGATGTTGGCAACCAGAGTGGCCGGGTATGGGCGGACCAACGACAGCATTACAGTGGACCCATGGTAAATGAGGCATTGGAAGGGTTCAGTGGGAAGCTCTCCCTGGATGGAATAAGGCCTGGGGCCAGGAGGATTTCATGTGAAGATAATTTGTAAAAAGCACATGGGTTTCTTTACACGCATGGTTAGCTAAATATATATGTGGCCTTTTGGTTATATTTTTCTTTTTTCATTTTTCTAATGTCATCTTGATTTTGCTTTTGTATAGTAGTAGTAGCATTGGAAGCAAGGCTTTTTGTAATTCTTTTCGAAAATGCCGATTTCCTCAGTCATGGTGGGCATGCCTTCTAATTGAATCAATGAATTTGCTTGGGGAATATGGTTGTCTTTTTGTGCATTAAAGTTTAGGGCGGACTCTACGTTTTAGAGATGATTTACATTATACGTACAAATCACTATAAAAGAAATTGCTGCTAACAAAATTCGATTTACGAACGAATTATTTGAAATTTATCAATTCAACCAAGGTTAGTTGGCTCTCTTTCACTTGTATGTGGGCACATGATTTTGTTTGATGGTGCATGGCAGGACACTTCTTTCGAATGTTATTAGTGAGCAACAGTAAAATGTATTTGGCAGCTTATGGTAAGATGGTGGCTTCATTTTTTTTATTTTTGTTGAGAGAGAAGCTAGTAGAAGACAAATGGTGTGAGATTTTGTCTTGCATCAAGAAACAGACGAAACTTAGAGAAAAACTTAGAGAAAAACACGAGATTTTAAAGCCATTGCAACCAGACAGTGAGAAATCCTTACCTGTAAATTTCATGTTTTGTTTAAATTTCAAAGTTTTGAAAAGACATTTTTAAACAGAAAACTTACCCTGGCAATACATGTTTCCTCATGATGACAAGTCTGAGAAATACAGGTCATCAACAAGTAAAGCCATTAAATTTCTGCATTTTTTTTTCTTATCTACAAGGACAAGTTGGTTTTGTTGTCCTGACGCTGCTACAATAACAGAACATTGATGATTGATCAACGTGCACATCTCTTTTTCTTCTGGCGTGAAACATCGTAGTTTCTGCCTTGTGAAAACTTGAAAGTGATGTCTCCTGGCAGATACCTTCGTTATGTCATAAATTTCAGTGTAGCATTTATAATGGAATCCTATCCTCCGGATAATGGGATAATTTTAAATTCTATATGTTATTTGATAGGAAAAAGTTACTTGAAGTTTTTTTATTTCAGTACCTATAATCTGAGTTTGTATTTAAAGTTTTAAAGTATCTAACAGTGTTGAATCATGAACAAATATTATAATTTGAAAAGACTATAAAAAAGATAGTTTTTGTATTCAGCATTGTCTCAACTATGTCTAAGTATTGTATGCTTATATTCTTTGAATTTTGTGTTTAACAAGGTCATTCTGATATATACAAAATATCATTTCTGTTATGAAAGGTTAAAGTTACTCTGACAGCACCAAAGTGGATGAGAGTGTATCCTTGTTCTGATCATTATTGAAAAAATTCTTTTGAGATCTGAAAAATAACAAAGTGCTCTTGAATTCCTGCTTTGTGACTTGAACATACTCTTTTGGAGCTTGGTATTTTAGTTTTAAAAGGGTTTTTAAAGATTTAGTAAGAGAAGTGAAAGAGTTTGAGAAAATTATATAAAGATTTACAAAAGAAAGAACTGTTTGTTGGGTTTTCTTTTCTTTTGTGATACAATCTACTTCATATAAGAATTTTAACTTAGAGGAAGAAAACTTTTTAAACACAGGCTAAGGGAGAGAAGACAAATTAAAAAAAGATCTAGAAGTGGAAGGTTGAGAATTGAAACTAGTTGATAAATTCATGAAAATGAAACCCTTTTTGCTTTTCCTATTCAACTTCAATAATCAAGAATCAAAAACAAAATTTTTCTCTCTATTCAAAACTACGCTTTGATACCATTTGAACACAGCAGTAAGTAGTACATGCCAAGGATCTGGTAACTGATGGCCTTAATTTCGAGCTCTTTGGGTGATAGAGTCATGACATTTATACTATCTGATATTATTTTAATAGTGTGTGGATTGATTGTCTTATCAAGATAATACCAAATATAAACAATCCATAGATCATACATATCATCAAGGTATTCTAGTCGGTATTTAAGACTCTGGTGCCTTCTTGGTTTAATGTCGAAGTGGTAGCCTGACTTTTATAAAGATATGTCCTTCACTACAATAGCTTATTTCAGTAAGATCTTAGTACAATAACTTTTCTTTGGTTGAGAGAGTAGATCAATAATTTGTTTGATAATTCTATAAAAATTTCTGATGCAGAAGTTTACAATACTGTGACTAGAGGTGTAAATGATACATTAGTACTCGCAAGCTACTCGGGTTCAATTTGAAAAAAACTCGAATTCGGTTCGATTATTATCGAGTCAAGCTCGAGCTCGAGTAGCTCGACTTATCGATCGAGCCGAATTCGAGTATTCTTATATCTAACTCGAGTAACTCGCGAGCCTAATCGAGCTTTTATATTTAAATATATTTTTATTATTTTAATTAATAAAATATTTCGAGTTCGAGTTTCGAGTTCGAATTCGAGCATGAATAATCGAACTCTTGTCGAATATACGAATCGAGCTTATTTTTACATATTAATCGAGCTTAATCGAGCGAGCTCGAGTAGCTCGAATTCGATCACGAATCGAGCTCGAGCTTGAAAAATAAAACTCGATCGAGCTCGAGCCGAGTATCGAGCCCCGAATTGTGAGTCGAGCTTGAGCTCGAGCTTCTCACTATTCGGCTCGGCTCGGCTTGTTTACACCCCTAACTGTGATAATTGTAGAGCATACTCAACTCATATCACTGCAAATTATGAAATAGATAGAAGAACTATGAATTTGAAACTTTAACTATAAAAGAAAGAGGAAAGAATTACCAAAAGAGAATATAATTTTTAGCCAAACATATTTTATAAAAAAGATTTCTTACAAAGAGGAGAAGTTTTTTCTATATCTAAGCTTAACTTGTTCCTTTTGGAAAAAAAAAAAACACAATTTATACAAGAAAAAAGTAAAAAAATAGTAACCTAATAGGACTATGTTATAATTAAAGTCATGACCTTACAAATGACTTGACATAAAGTTACTTTAATATTAATAAAATAGATATCCTTTAATAAATTTCTTTCTCATTCTGGTGATGCTGTCTTTGTAAAGATGAAAGCAACAAACAAGAATCCTAGAGATGTTCACATTTCAAAATAAATCTTAAATGAAAAATTTGCCATACTTCTTCCAAAATCATGGATGACGAGTTATCAAAAGATTTGAGAGTAAGCTGAACTCATTCAACACTTTGATCTAACCTACAAGATAAATCAGGATGACACTGTAACAATTGAGTTTGATCACAGTAAATAAAAAGATGTTCCTCCTTCAACAATCTTTTCAACACAGTTCATGATGCAAACATGTCAAGTTGAGCAAGATGTTCTAGTTTCACACTTCAGTTTAATGGAAACCCTGTATATGCATACAAATCTCCAAAAGATATTGTTATTAGGATACTAATTACAGATGCAAATGCTGTCAAAAGGACTTATACAGAAGCTTCCTTGATGATAATGATAATACTCCAAATAAGCAAAAGAAAAAAAGTCTTCCCAGCAAAAACTTAAAAAAAGATATGAGAATAGAGACTTTGATATTGATCTCTTTGGTGAACCCTTAAAAAAGTTTGACTATTATGTCATCTATCCTAAGAAAGAAAAACAACTTCCTTAAACCTATAAAATTCAAACCACACAAAAATCAGATTCCACCCAATTCTTGCCCCTAATATCCATGATGCAACCAGGCTACCCAGAACAATTTTACAACTTAGATTTCCCTTATTTCCAAGAATTTCAAAAGGATCAATACAAACACATTCCAAAAATCTCAAACCCTACTAATAGAAATGAATACAAAAACAAAAAAAATGTTTCTCGTGCTGAAGCAATTTTAAACTGACAGACTAAAAATTCTCTCTAGCAGAATGCATACCTGTATAGAATTGAACACAAGTTGGACCAAGTCAATTATCACTTTGATCAAAGCCTTGTTAATCTTTAAAATATTATTCTTGAAATCCAATCAAGGATAATAACTTTAGATCAAGAGTTCAGATACATGGCTGAAATCAATATTGAATTTACTTATACTTTCATTGAAAAAGAGCCCAAATTAAATTGTGTTTAAATGATATCAGAGCCAGTTTGACAAGAGGGCTATAAGCTATCGGAATCATGATCAAGGGTTCTCACAGTGCGATTTATGGCAAAGCATTGACTTTTACCCTGATATGGTTATGCAGGTTAGCCACTTATGCGATTGATAAGTTGAGAGGCTTATCGAAAACTAACGTCTGAGCTACCCATAAATGCCACCTGACATAATCGATCTTGATTTTATGTCTGAAGAGCTTAAAACTAAAGCCATTAGTTACTAAAGCCTTGGCACGTACTACCTGTCATTGTGTTTAAATGGCATCAAAGCTAGTTTGACAAGAGGGCGATAAACAATCAAAATCATGATCAAAGGATCTCACAGTGTAATCTGTGACGAAGTATTGACTTTTACTTTAGCATGGCCAGACAGGTTAACCACCTGTGCGATTGATAAATCCAAAAGCTTATCGAAAACTAGCATATGAGGTACCCATAAAGGCCACCTAACATAATTAATCTTGACTCTATGTCCAGAAAGCCTGAAATTTTTTTGTTTAAATGGTATCAGAGCGCAATTCTAAATAAAGAGAAGAAATTTTGTTTCTGATTTTTTATTATTGAAGTTAGATAGGAAAAACCAAAAGAGAGTTTTATTTTTATGAATTTATCAACTAGTTTCAGTTCTTAACCTTTCACTTCTAGATCTTATTTTAGTTTATCTTCTCCTGTACTTAAAAAGTATTCTTTTTCTAAGTTAAAATTCTTGTATGAAGTAGATTATCTTTAAAAAAAAAAAAAAACTCAACAAACAGTTCTTCATCATGTAAATCCTTATATAACTTTCTCAAACTCTTTTACTTCTCTTACTAGATCTCTAAAAACTTTTTTAAAACCAAAATACCAAGCTCCAAAAAGAGTATGTTCAAGCCACAAACTTTAACCAATGTATTCTTCCAACAAAAATTAATAGTACTTTGTTACTCTTCAGATCCCAGAAGAATTTCTTCAACAATGGTCAGAATAAAAATACACTCACATCCACTTTGGTTCTATCAGAGTAGCTTTGACTTTCCATGAAAAAAATGCTATTCCTGTATGTACCATAATGGCCTTGTTAGACACAAGATTCAAAGAATACAAGCATGTAGTACTTGGCATAGTTGTGATGATACTCAATGCAGAAACTATCTTTTTCACAGTCTTTTCAAATTATAAATCTCTTTATGACCTAATACTGTTAGATGTTTTAAAAGTTTAAGTACAAATTGTAAGTACTAAGATGAAAGAACTTCAGGTAACCTTTC